AAAAAAACAACCTAGATGAAATGGACATATTCCTAGAAAAATACAAGCTTCCAAAACTCAATCAGGAAGAATCAGAAAACCTGAATAGGCCAATAACTATGGATGAAATTGAAGCAGTAATAAAAACACTTGCAGCAACCAAAGCCCTGGTCCAGACAGCTTCACAGGGGAGTTTTAGGAAACATCCAAAGAAGAACTAAAACTTCTCCTCCTCAAGATTATCCCAAAAATTAAAGAGGAAGGAACACTTCCAGTGGTCCCACTTCTGGGAATATATCCCAAGAAATCTGAAACACCAATCGGAAAGAATAGATGCACCCCTATGTTCATAGCAGCACAATTTATAATGGGTAAGATCTGGAAACAGCGTAAGTGTCTATCAGCAGATGAGTGGATTAAAAAACCCTGGTACATCTACACAATGGAACACTATACAGCTTTAAAAAAGAAAGAACTCTTACCCCATAAAAAGTATTTAATGAAATGGATGCAACCAGAATACCATATGCAGAGTTTAAAACAATGGTTATAAGGATGCTTAAGGGCCTTAGGGGAAGAATGAATGATTTAATGAGAATTTAAAGAGATAGCAAGCGTTACAAAGAACATAAAAACCATAAAAAAGAACCAGAAATGAAGACTACATTATCTGAAATGAAGAATATACTAGAAGGAATCAACATCAGGTTAGATGAAACAGAGGATCGAATCAGTGATTTAGAGGGCACAATAACTGCAAGCACCCAAGCAAAGCATCTAAAAGAAAATATTATTTTAAAAATGAAGAAGGACCAAGGGACCTTTGGGAAATGAAGCATAATAACATCTATATCATAGGGATCCAAGAAGAAAAAGAGAGTGAGTGAAGTATAAAAAACCTGTTTGAAGATTAAATAATGGCTGAAAACTCCCCTAACCTGGTAAAGGAAAAAGACACACAAGTTCAGGAAGCACAGAGAGTCTCAATCAAGATGAACTCAAAAGGGCCCACACCAAGACTGCTGGAGGCTAATTCCAGCAGGTCATAATTATGCAAGAAGTTCATCAAAAGGTTGATGAACCTTGTGGCTTCAGCAGGGCTGAAGATCTGCATGTTATTGCCTGCTGCCAGACAGCTGAGGGCAGTTCCCCCAACCTGATAATCTTTTACTGTTTACCAAACCTTACCTTTGATATGTACATCTGCTTTGCTATAGGGCAAAATGTGTTAATAAAAAGCTAGGGGTCTGGAGATTTGGGGAGCTTAGTCACTAGAACTAAGTTTCCATCTGGCTTTCCCCAAAATGCCTTCCAAATTCATATTTCTTCTCTAGCCTCTTCATTCATTTATGCACAGCCCCTTTTCCAGATTCCTTGAACCCTAGTAGATGTGGAAAGAACCCGGCACAAGATACCTTGTAATTAAAATGGCTAGAGAGAGAGAGACAGTTAGTTATATACAAGGGAGTCCACATAATGCTGTCAGCTGATTTCTCAACAGAAACACCTTAGCAGAACAGATTAGCATGAAATATTCAAAGTGATGAAAAGCAAGGAACTGCCACAAAGTCTACTCTATCCAGCAAGACTATCATTTAAAATTGACCCCCGCCCCCCGTTGCAAAAAAAGGCTAAACAGATTCATTATGGCATAACCAGTATTACAAAAAATGTTAAAGGGCCTGCTTTTAAAAGAAGAAGAAATATGTAAAGAGAGGAACATAGCTATAAAGAATAAAATGGCAATAAATAAGTACTGATCAATAGTAACCTTACATATAAATGGGTTAAATGCTCCATTCAAAAGATATAAGATAGCTGAATAGATTTAAAAAAACAAACATGACACATATTTATGCTGTTTAAAAGAGACCCACATCAGTTCAAAAGTTACACACAGACTGAAATTGGGGGGATGAAAAAAATATTCCATGCAAATAGAAAAGGAAAAAAAAATTGGGGTAAGCAATCCATATATGTGACAAAATAGACTTTAAAACAAAGGCCATAAAAGACACAAAGAGATCACTACACATAAATAAATGGATCAATCCAATAAGAGGATACGACTCTTGTAAACTTATATAGCAACACATAACTATATAAAGATAATATTTATAAAATAATTTCTTGACACGTTTTTCTCCAACTGATTGCACAATTAGAAAGGATAAACAAGTTTACCAGTTATTACTTATAGATATTCTTGGTAATGTTTCATTAAAAAGCAAATCTCTTCTTTGCCATTCCTTGTCTTGGGCAATTAGAGATGCATAGTTGACATCTATGAATAATATCTGATTACTCATTAACTGGAGATATAAAAATAAAAGAAAAAGATTTTAAGAAGAGAAGAGTCAAATAGCTCATGCCGACTTTAAAATATTGATGACAAAGGTGTGAGAATTGTAAAATACTTAGGGTTTAACCTAAAACTTGTTTTTATCTTTGATTTTTAGAAAGCACTGTACTGATAAAAAATGAGTTTGCTCAGATCGAGAATATATTGGCACTCTCTTAAACACAACCTGAAACTGAACGTGGGGAAGGTCATGTAATGAGAATAGAGCCATAGTTGTCTAATAATTATCCACCTTACTAACTATAGATAAGTTTTCTTACACACCCTGGGAAACTGGAGGATGAAACAGGCCTGTAAAAAATAAGACACCTCCATGGGTCCATTACTCAGAAAATAAATAACATTTTGAGAACAGACCAAGGACAGGACACGCTTTGATTTGGTTGCTGCACCTGGACCCTGATCCCCTCTGGGAGTTTTTCCCTGGAATGCTGACCATTCTCGAGTCCCAGAAACAGGCTGAGCTGTTTGTAACATCATAGAAGATTAGCCACCTGGTTATCAGACTTTGAGCTCCTGAAGGCTGGACTGCAGACTCTACCCTCCCCTTTCCATGTTATATTTGTAGCTCGCAGGTGCATGTAACTATCTTCTCCCTCGTGTGTATATAACCAGCCAACTGGCAAGGGAGGTCAGAGCAGATTTTTGTGGATGACCTGCTCTCTCCCATACTGCCCACATTATTGGAATAAATGCTCATATATGATTCAACCCTGTCTCTGCTTAATTGGCTCAAGTGGTGACAGGCAGCCAGGACCCCTTGATTGTCGGGTTACAAAACCAGGGAGCTGAAGCACAAAACATTTCTGACAAAGATAGCCAGTCAAGCATAAAAATGGGAATTGGTTGTGTCTAGTTGACTTGGCATGGATGAAGGCAATTATTATCACTAAAAGTTGTTTTTATTATTTGAAACTTATGTCATATTATGTGTAAAGTGCTTCTTATTTATAAACTATTACATCATTTCCATATCTGCAGTGTCCTTCTTGGATAACCACAAACTTGAAAGTGGTCCAAAATCTTGTTCATGGTTTTCTACAAGCACAGGGAAGCTCACATGTTGAATTGTCTATCTGGAGTTAGGAGAATGTGTTTGGGTTTTACTTTTACTTCTTGTTTAAATATAGATCACTATTTTAAAATGTAAACATCCAATGGCATTCCCTTACAACGACAGGAATCCTGAGGCAGAAACCTGTAGTATTAACATTTCACTCACCCAGAAGGATGCCCCAAATGCTTAAGGCCAAGGAGACAGCATTATTAAATGCCTTATGACTTTACAGTTATCCTCTATTATTCTTGCTAACCCACATTTCCAAAAGATCACCGGATAAATTAGGCAGGGCACTGAAACAGTATTTGTAAAATTGAACTAATTAAAAGCAATCCACGTTGCTCTGAGGGTGTGTATCTGTGAATTACTAGGTAAAGAATTTACATGCAAGTTTATTCCAAACTAGATTTACATCATTTGTAGGTTATTTTTTAGGAGTACCAGTTCTAGCCCAGAAACATGTCAACAGAGTATTTCTAAACTATCATTTCAAATTACCACTGTAAAGGGTGGGAGGAGGAAGGAATAGTAACTGGAAGACTTGTCAGCTCATAAACAATGCCCCCCCCCCCCCCCCCCCCCCCCCCCCGCCCCGCGCGCTCTTCCTTCCCATCACAATTCTGGCGTCACTTAATCTCTGGTATCTGTTTCCGACTTCGCCACCCTCCCCTCTG